GCCCTGAATGAGGTCTCCTACTGGAGTCAGAGAGGACCCTAGCCTTGGAATATCCAGAAACCACCAAGAGAAAGAAGAATCCACACTGCAAGGCAGCCTGGAGTGAGGGAACAGGGATGCATGCTGACTGAGCAAATGAGTCCATCAGATGCAGCTGAAGTGGGAGGATTGCTAACGGGTGAGCTGGGCCCACACCCCTGCTGAGCTGGGCCCACACCCCTGCTTTCTTGTCGACAGGAGCTCTGCTACCAGCCAAACCTCCCATAATTGAGTAAAATGACAACCAGACACCGTACCGACACAAAGATGATATTTATAAACAGGGTCGATGCTGGCTTTTCTAGCTTCTGATTGCTGTCTGGCCCTGATTCTATCCTTACAAAAAATTCTGTCCTTTGAACGCCAAATTCAGGATTTGAATTTGGCCAAGTCGTTACCACCATATTTCCCAAAATCTCTTAAAATAGAATTGAATCATAATTTCAAAAAAGGGCCCACCATGCAAAAATGGATGGGCTCACGGGAGGATGCCAGGTTTGCAGGATGCATTTGGTCCATGAATAGTAAGATCGCTTTTGATTTAAAAAATGTGACTGAAATGCAGTTTCTGACTTTGCACTAAGAGTCTGCACTGGGGAAGTGGAGACACTGGCTGCTTACCAAAATCTTTGGGCTGTTTCTCTCTCAAAGAAGAGTCTGTTCTTCCTCTTGCTTCTCTTCTCTTCTCTTCTCTTCTCTTCTCTTCTCTTCTCTTCTCTTCTCTTCTCTTCTCTTCTCTTCTCTTCTCCCTTTCCTTCCCCTCCCCCTTCCCTCTTCTCTCCACTTCTTTCCTCTTCTCCCCTTTTCTTCCTCCCTCCACTTCTCTCTCCTCTCCTCTGAATCTCTCTTCTCTCTCTCTCTCTCTCTCTCTCTCTCTCTCTCTCTCTCTCTGCCTTTCTTTGTGTCTTTTTAGCCTTTCTCTGTCTTTCTTGCATTCTTGAATCCACAGGACATAATCAGAGCTTGCTGGGAAAGTTTTTCTCCAGGATTTGTCTATGCCCTATGACAAAGACCTTCAAGGATCCAACCCTTTTCTAGGCATGTGATAAACACAAGGCTTTAGACATAAGCTTTCCTGTAAATCCTCACAGTCTCTGAACTGTGGGAGAGTGTGAGGGCCAAGCCCACACCTCCACATACAGCCTGATACTTCCTGGAGCCTAGACAGCCCTTCAGGACAGGATGGCCTCCCAAGGAGGAGTGCCACTCTCATCCTTGAGTGGGCCCCAATACCTTATCCACACATCTTTCATCTTATATGAACCCATGTATGAGAAAACTGAATGCAGGGACCTGTTTCCAAACTCAAATCACAGCAGTGTCCTTCTTAACAAAGGATCCTGGGGAGCATCTCAGCCCCTGGCTCACTCAGTGGCCGTTCAGCACCTCTAAAACATGGATGGCGCTGCCCTCTCTCTACAGGAGAGTAAAACAGGGTTCAGAGAGAAGGCTGTGGTCAGGATTTGAACCTGGAACTCTCAGCTCTACCCTAAACCTCTTTCACTTCAGCACCCTTGGAGCATTGCTAGGAGGACAGATGTGGGGGCTGAGATGTATTAGATGTATCCAGGACAGAGTGTATTAGGCAGCCCCATGCCCCACTTAAAAGCAAGTCATACAACCTGCTTGTTCCTCTTGATCCTTGATTTCTGGTCCTTGTTTGACAGATCCAGCTCTTTCCCCAATGACTACTCACCTCTCCCTTCTGGTCCACATCCTGCAGTCTCTACTTACTGCAAGCCTTGGACATTAGGGCTCCTCTAGTTGCTGTAGGCTGAGTTAGCGGCCAGTGAGGAATTGGTGGTGTAGACAGACGTAACACCCCAAACTGAAACACAAAACAGAGGCAAGGAGTGTGTGGGTCTCTGTGCCATTTCTGAGATCAAGGAAAGGACCTGGAGGGCAGCAAAACTTCCTCCCTGTTTTCTCATCCCCCTCATTTGCTGACTCCCCACTGAGAAATTCAGAAAAACAGGTGGAAGGAGAAAACTCCAAACCATGCTCATGTACGAAACCAAATGAAATAAAACCATCAACAGAAGCTCGTGGCACGTGCCTGTGTGACAGACAGACAAAGGCGTTTAGTCTGGACCCACGAGTCTAAATCTGGGAGTCAGAGGGGGTGTGGCAGCTCAGTTTCTCCTGATTCGAAGAAGCAGAGACCCACACCCTCGTCCTCTGTGCTGTGCATTTTGTCAGTGTGCGAGGAACAGTGCTGTTTCCATGGCAATGACCAGCACAGATTCCTGGCCTCTCTGAGCACTCCATGACCTGCTTCCGATTCCAGGCAGAGCCAAGGGGCCTGTGGGGACAGTTAAGGGCCACTTCACAATTTCCCCTTAGATGCCACGACCTCTGGCCTGATGGACGTGGCACCTGTGACCTCTGTCTCTGTGAGTCTGATCACAACTCCTCAGAGAGCTTCAAGTGCTGCTAAAGAGCTATAGTCAGGGGACCGGCCGGCTCCGGAGGCGTGGCAACAGGCAGTGCTGTCTCCCTCAGTTGCTGCTTCCCTGGGGAGCCCAGTGTACTTACTGATGCTCCCTTTTATGGGAACAATGGCCCTTGAATGCAAACGGCGTATTGGGAATCCAGCCTGTGACAGACGCAACGGTGACCTGCACCTTGCTCCCCCAAGTCTGAGAAAGCACAAAGGACACAGATTTCAGTAATTCCCCTCAAGAAGATGCTGTGCTCTACAGGTGCCTTGCATCCATGACTGATGGATCACGTGACTCGGGGCTCCACCCAGTCCCTACAGGTTGGCCACAGAGCTAATTGAGGCTTCTGTGGAGATGAAGTCAGAGCTCAGCCTCCCTCTCCGTGTTCCGTATAGGCCATGCTGATATTGAGAATCTCCACGAATAAATGTCTCACTTGCTGGTATCTAACTCAGATCTGCGCTCCAGGGAGGTCAGACAGTGGCCAACCTCGTGGTCTGTAGGTAACACTGGTCAGAAAGACTCTTGCAGGGAAAATAGAGTCAAGGAAATGGCCACCAGGGCCTGGAAATGGCCACCAGGGTCTGGAAATGACCACCACGGTCTGCCAGCGCTCTTGGATCCTGGACAGTTAGTGCTAAGTTTTCCCAGTCAGTACAAACCTGCTGCATGTCCATGCATTAGCTCTGACCCAGTCCTGACTCTAACTGGATGCTGACATCCACTTCTGCCACCTGAGCTGGATAAGATTGACAGAAGCCTCTGTGGGGAAGGATTTCTTCCTGTCTTTATATCTTATAAGGGCCTTTGTTTGACAGTGGGCTACCCAAGCCATCCGGGCTCATCACCACATCTGGAGAGCCTTACTTTACAGATCCCCTTTCCCATGGACAGTAACATCCATAAATTCTGGGGATTGGGTTGGAGACCCCATAGGGGCGGAGCATCATTCAGCTTCTTATGTCAGTGACTGCACTCAAGAGAGCAACCCAGGCGAAGAAGAGAATCTGTGCAGAGCTGGGGATGCGGGATCCATTGCTGCTGGAGCAGCTGCAGACATTCCGTGGGATGGAGCGGAACTGGAGGGCCGCAGGGGACCAGGGTGAAGGCAGAAGACCAGTGCTAACACAGGAGAGCCATGCCAAGGCGCAGGCCCAACAGTCATAGGGAAGTGGTTACTCAGGGCGCTAGATTCATAGTTAACCATATAGATGTTTTTCTCTCTCTTTGTTCATTACCACCTGGGTCAAGATTGAAGTCAACGTCTACTTTCTCTTGGGATCATGGGATTCAGTCAAGGGCTTCCCATGCGCTAGGCACACTAACCTCAAGATTGCAATTCTCCCTACTTTTTCTCTATAGTACTTGCCTAAATGTATGTACCACCAAGGCCAGCTCAGTATGGTTTTGGTTCTACCACAATCCTGGCTAAATGGCAATATGTGTCAACACAGCGTATGCACATATGATGTTGACTAAAAGCAGCATGGCTAGAACACCATGGAACGTACATACTTCATGCTTCCTACCCCAGGTCTGGATCCCACCATGGGATTGTCAGGGATTCTGCTACCTCTTCACGCTGCTGTGCATCCTGTGAGGCTCTGTGCATCTCATCCCTACTCACACAAGCTCTGCTGGTGTGTTTCGGATCATCTGCATCTCAGCATTAGCTGAGGGGACAGGACATGTCTCAGTGTGTGGGGACCGGGCTAGAGAAAGCTTTAAAAGGATATCACATAAAGGTTGAACACGGTCCTGATTGCAGCTTGGAGGTCTGGTCCACCAAGCCTCCCTGTGCTTTTCTTTCTGAGGTCTCTTCAGAATTTAGTCTATAAACGGTCAGATGATCCGGGCTAGAAGGAGCTCTAGGGATGGCTCAGCGGTTAGGACTGTAAAGGGCCCGCAGGCCTAACAACTATCTGTAAGTTCAGCTCCAGGGAATCCAGCGCCTCTAGTCTCTGTGGTCCTGTACACACACACACACACACACACACACACACACACACACATACTTCATGGCTCCGTACACATACATTTGCATAGATGAAACTTAAAAGAAAACAATTTTTTCAAGGGTGACATGAGCAGAGGTGAGGTATACATAGTATCATAGAAATCTCATAGGCACCAGGAAATGACAGAAAACCCTGGGAATCATTGGTCCAGCCCATAGGTGAGCAGCATGAAGCCTGTAAGATAAGCTTCCCCGGGAACTCAGTGAGAATGTACCTAGGAGACTGCTTCATAAGCTACCAACCTGTGTGCGCCCACGAGGGTGAGGCCTCGCAAACAAACGTCACTTCCTTAGGAATTAGGGTGCTTCCTGACATTCTGTGTAGTTAATGAGATACATGGTCATCCCTTGTAGAGTTCTTAGGACTCACTGCTGGCATTCTTTACTGAAACAACCTCTTTTTGATGTCCCCCTTGACTATAAGATGCTGAAGGATGCCAGTTAGAACTCACTGCTGGCATTCTTTACTGAAACAACCTCTCTTTGATGTCCCCTTTTACTAGACGCTGAAGGATGCCAGTGACAATGCCCGCAAGGACTTTCACCGTGAAGCGGAGCTGCTGACCAATCTCCAGCATGAGCATATTGTCAAGTTCTATGGCGTCTGTGTGGAGGGCGACCCACTCATCATGGTCTTTGAGTATATGAAGCATGGAGACCTCAACAAGTTCCTTAGGTACAGTGAGGGGTGGAGCCCACCTGGGCTTGAGAAGCGGGCAGAATGTCACTGCTCAGATAACTAGGAGCAAGGACGAAGCCCCTGGGAAGGGGAAAGGGAAACCCAAACACCTGCATACAATGGACAAAGGAACAGAGGGAAAGGAAGAACACATTTCTTTTTCCTGCCTGGTCACCTCTCCTAAAGTGTAGCTAATTAGTCCTTCTGCATTCATTGAGCATTTGTTACATTTTGACGATGCTAAGTGCCTGGAAGAGCGTGTGCCAAGTGCATTGCCCAAGGCTACAGAAACAGAGAAAGCAAAGATACCTAGGCTGCACCGTAGATGTTGTAGTGGGGTCAGAGTGAAGCATCTGGGATGCCAGGTATTCCGGGAATGAGAAGGGGGTGTGGGGGAGGAGGGGAAGTAGGAAGCAGCTCAGAGCATGGAAGCTGGGGAGCTAGTGTGCGGAGCTGATCTGCCCTCAGGATCTCTTGGATCTAGAATGGAACAGACAGAGCTCAAAGACCAAAGATTTCAAAGGAAAAGGATGGAGCAACATTTGACGGAGCCATCGAAGTCTTGCAAATGTGGCTGTTGCTAATAAGGTCCCTCTGAGCAATGTGTACATAAGCAGGGTCCCCTAAAAGAGAAACAGGGAGCTAGTGCCACTTGGATTTCTAGCACAGACCTCATTACGTCTCAGTTCAGCAATGGCTTCTCAAGGAGTCCCGTCCCTCAGACAGCAGGAGGAGGAGACACAGTTAGAGTGAGAGAGACTTTAGAGTGGTCAGGTCACGAGCCATGAGGAAGTCGTTTGTTCTGGAGTGTGAGCTAAGTCACAGAGTGTCAGGGGTTAAGAGTGGCTTTTGAGGTGATGCCAGATACAACAGCAGAGTTGCCACCCCCGAGCAGACATGAAGCTGGTACCTAGCTGTGGCGTGTATGAACTGAGTCTTCTCAGTGGTGGTGTGTACTGAGCTCAAGCGTGACAAGTACAGTAGGCAAAGTCTGGAGAAGAATTCTCTGGTGACCAGCTCAGTCAGCAAGGAAATCACAAGAAAAGATGAGTTTAATATCATGACTGTGGGCTGCCTGTCACCCTGGTACGGTCCCCTGGTGAATGTTCCCATCCTGTGACTGTCTAGGGAGAAGCATACAGTGAGTCAGATACATAACAATGACAAGGAAGAAAGGAAATAATGTCTTCATTCTCATTGGGCAGAGACAGAAATAGAGATGGATCTTACATGTAAGGTTATCCAGGTGAGGCACCACATGTTCCAGCATGGCCAGAAAACATGGGTTCTCCTCCTGAATGGGGCATCAGCCCTGGCCCAGGCACCTTTGTCACAAGTCCCTTACAGTCCTATCTATGTGTTCTTTTCTTTAAATGTCAGCTGGTATCTCAAAATATTAGCCTACACATTTCATGCAGTTTGAGGGAAGATTATAACTTGGGGGAAACAGAGGATGAAAGGAGCGTACAGATCACCTGCCCTTCCTGGCCTCGTTTTCCTGATAGGGCAACATAGCTTGCACCCCAAGAACAAGCTTAGAGAGGAGTTATCAATAACTTTTGGTCCCACGGTCCCTTATTTCTGCCATGTTTCCTCTGTGTTTTGGTTCAGAGATTCAAAAGCCCAGTGAGTGGCGTCTTTTGTGTGATGCTCACACGAAGTCCTCCCCATCCACTGCCAAAAGCTTCACACAGAAGGAAGGAGAGCTTCCCATTCGCTGGAAGATTTGCCCTGCAGTCTCAGGAATTAGTCAGTCACAGGAGGGATGGCCGAAGGGGACAGAGCTCCACTGCTCTTAGAACTGGCTCTACAGGGCACTCACGTCTGGACCATTTTCACGGTCTGTCTTTTTACACATAGGGCTCAGTTCTCGCCTGGGCTGGATCTCTGCTTTCCCTGTAGTCAGGTGTGTATGTGCAGTTGCCAGATGAGATCAGGAGATCAGGAGTGGCTGGCGCAGTCAAGGCATTGAGAGCCAACCCCAACCTGCCTTCCTGTGTTATCAAAGTGTTCATTGTGGGTGAAAGTCGGGGGCAATGGCAGATTCTGGACCTGTATTGTCAGAGCCAAAGTGAGAAGAAGGAAAATATTAACTTTGGTTGAGGACTAGTTGTTCCTGTAAGAAATATTTTCATCATTCCTCAGACTCTCTCCCTAATCCAAAAACAGTTTTTCTTAAATACTATAACAAAATAAACCCACATGCAGTTATCTGGATGCAGTTTCATGCATCTGCATGCTCAGACGTCTGTGTTTGTTTGTATGTGTGTGTTAAATGGTGTGACTAGGGGTGTTTGTGTATGAATATGCTCTGTGAGTGACTATATGTGTGTGTGTGTTTATTACGGGTATGAGTGTATGTATGATTATGGGAGTTTAAGTATATATGTGTGAGTGTGTATTAGTGAATGTGTGTTCTATGTGTCGATGTGAGGGGCAGGGGAGCATATGTGTGTCTTGTGTATGTGTGTATATATGCATGAATGTATGAATGAGCGTGTGTCTGTAAGTATGAATATGTGTAGGTGTGACTATGTGGATATGAGTGTATGATGTAGTTGCAAATGTGTGTGCACATGTGTTTTGCATAAGTGTGTGTATTCAAGTGTATATAGGTATGAATGTTTATGGGTATGAATGTATGTGTGTATATGTGCATATGAGTATATGTGTGCACATATGTGCACATGTGTGTATGCATGTGTACATGTGTGTATGCATGTGTGTGTGTGTGTGTGTGTGTGTATGTGAGTGTGTCTGTTACCACTCAGCTTTTGGCTTTCTGTCAGCCACACCCCAGCTTCCCCTTTGCCTTCTGAGGCCCTCCCTTGGCATCCTACGCAGGGCGTGGAGAACTTGGAAACTCAGCTTGATTCCAGAATCTGCTACACTCTGGATCGGTGTGGCTGCCAAGGAGCAGACTCAGGTGCAGTGATGCATGGCAAGGGCGTGCTGTCCTCTTCCTGGGAGGAGACCTGGCACACAACTGCCATGACAGATCCCCAAGTGTCTTGGCAGTGCTTGATAAAGCCAGATGTCTTATGTCTCAAATCTTTCTCTTCATGTAAAAAAGCTTATACCGAGCACAATACAGCCAGGTCTGGCATGAGATGGACAATGAGAACAATTTCATTTTAAAAGTTTCAGTTTTTCCCTGAAGAATCTCTCCCAAGTTCTCTATTAATGTGGGGAAAGAGAGATGAGCAATTTTCAAGCAATAACAAACAATATTTATTTAAAATGTCTATGTATATAAGATGTGTTAATTTATGAAAACCAAATAATATTTCAAAAATTTAAAGATAAATAAGCTCCCTATTTTATGCTTAGTCTTGTGGCACAGTCAAAGAAGCCAACTCATGAAGCTGGGGATAGAACTGAGACTCCAGCCATGGCCTCTGGACCAGCTTCCTGTTTCCTGAGAAGTGCCTGTTACAAGGATGTATAGGGAACCACTGTATGAGATGGATAAGTCTTAGTGACCGGAGCTGGGTAACAGTGGTCGGCAACAATTAATTGCATATCTCATATAGCTCTAGAGATAATGTTATTAATACAAGGGGAGGGAAATTTCTAAGATGATGTGTATGTCAGTTATTTTGGTCTAACATACCTTATACATTACACAATGCATTAAAATACCACACTCTATCCCATAAACACGAAAGACTATTATGTGTCAATCAACTTTTATAGTAAATTTAGCAGATAAACTTACTTTTGAGCAAATCCGAAGGAGGCTGGAATGCAGCCCAATGGTAAGGCACACCTGCCCTGAGATCGGTCCCTAGCACTGCACATCCAAACAGGTGGTAAGGGAAGAGGTGTCAACTACAGAACCCATTCAGTGCAGACGACCAGACCAGGAAGGCTGAGCAGCTTCCTATAGGTCCCCTAAGCCTGCTGCTGCTCCCCAAGCCAGAACACCGGGGTGGGGGGGGCATTGCCATTGCCACTCTTTAAGGAGATTCTCCCAGAAGAAGTGGGTTTTTTATTTTATTTTTTATTTTTGAGTGATATAGGAGGGCCTGGGCTCTGCGGTTCTCTTAAGAACTTGTCCAGGACACTCACCTGTCCCTTGTGGAGGGACATCTGCTCTAAAGGGGTACTGAGGCTACTGCCGGGGGAAATCCTCATTGCATTCTCAGAAGCAAGCAGAGAAGGGCCAGTCAAGGGTGTGAGAGCCTCCCCCATGCACAGAGCTCAAGGCTGCTGCAGGAGGTTTGCAGAGATGTGTTTCAGAGGAGGGGTGTGGACACTTCCTTCCCCCTGGGATGGATGGAGACCTCCTGCAGACTCAGGTGTCCAGCTTTCCATAGCCGGAGCAATGACTGACGTTGACTTTGTTCATTCCTTCAATGCCTGACGTTTCTTAGTCTTTTGGATCCCCTATTAGTTTCTATGTATCTCGGTCCTTTACCTGAGCTTTAGGTTGAGGTGAGTCTTCTGAGGTGGGAAGGACTTTGGCATCCTCAAGAAAAGGAAAGCTCCCATTTTCCTCAGGGCTCTGTAGCTCCATTACAGACCCAGCTTTGTATTTTTTTCAAATCTCCCCACTTTATAAAAAGCCCCCCCCAACACTATAAAAAGCGCCCCTTCAGACTCAGTATTAATTCTTCATGCCAATGCTCTAGGGGGCTGCTTAAAGGATCTGGGTTACAGAATGAAGAGACAGGCCCAGTAAGTTGAAGAACTCTCCTGTGTTGGGACTGGGCTCAGATTCAATTCTGACAGCCCGGGCTTTGGCTTCTGTGCCATGCTGTGCTGTTTTATAACCTCCAGGGACACTTTCTCAGGCCTCTTCCTGGGTGCCACAAAAGGCAGCTGGGGGCTGGGGTTCAAGGAGAGATGAAATCTGTTAAGACTTGCCTGGTAGGAAACCAGGAAGCTCCTCCCAAGAGAATGGTTAAACCTAGATATTCAGAGACAGAGGAGGAGATGAAGAATCTCCCCTCCCCACCCCGTTCTGCATCCCCCCCCCCTACACATACATAATATAACCATGAGGAAACTGCAGATTAGTGAAGTTCAAAGACTTCCTCAGATGAGGGTGTTAGGTAGTTGTGGACTGGAACACGCCCCACGCCTCTGCCAGAGCTTGCTCCTAGGGAAAGCAGGGTAAAGGGCCTGGTGACAGCATGTCTTAGAAATGCAAAGAAAGTCATTGCAGGCGGCAGCCTTGAGGGAGAAGGGGCTATGTCTGGGCTGGAATAGCTCAGGGAAGGCGGAATCCATGCTAAAAATGTTGGCTAATTCTTGCCCTCTCATTTTCAAACACCCAAGTTGTTCTGGGACCCAAAGATGGAATCACTCACTTTCTCAATAGAGACCCCCTCCCATCTTAGTCTCCCATGAGTGGAGGGAAGCTTTGCCAAAGCCGTGCAGAGCAGAGGGACCAGCGCTGCTGGCTAGGACTCTAGCCTTGAAAGAGTCAAGGGCTTACATGAAAGCCACACTTTGTCACACATCAGGTGGGCTGAAGGGGACCGTGAGCTACCCATCTTTGACAGGGACATCTGGAGTGGTCTGCATTCTGGCAGGGTGGCCAGCTGCAGTGCGGCTTGGAGGAGGTCTGGGGACCCTCTGATGCTAGGACCCGGCTCCAGGAAAGCCAGCCTCTCTCTGCTCCGGCTTTAACTCTGTCTCAGCGAGGTTACGCTTCTCAGAGTTTGTGAGTCCGTGGCCAATGTCTGATGGCAACAGAGTTCTGAATTCACTAAAGCATAAGTCTGTTAATGGGTTGGCATGAGAGCTAACTATTCTAGCCCCCCCGTATCCCACTCAGGAGAAATGAGGCCGCCGGGCGCTCTCTCAGCTGTGGAGATAAAACTGTGGGTGAAATGGAGCGTTCTGGCCTCTTCTTCTCTTAAGTCAGGCAGGGTCCTCCAGCCCCAGCCACTAAATGGAAACTGAGTCCCTCTAGTCTTCCAGCAGAGGCTTTAGCCTCTTGTATTCTCCCACAGGGCACACGGGCCGGACGCGGTGCTGATGGCAGAGGGCAACCCGCCCACTGAGCTGACGCAGTCTCAGATGCTTCACATCGCTCAGCAAATTGCAGCCGGCATGGTCTACCTGGCGTCCCAACACTTTGTGCACCGTGACCTGGCCACCCGGAACTGCCTGGTGGGGGAGAACCTGCTGGTGAAAATTGGGGACTTCGGCATGTCCCGGGACGTGTACAGCACCGACTACTATAGGGTGAGTAGCTGCCCCAGTAAGGAGTTACCGTTTACCGGGGCTGGGGGTGGGGATGACATCCCATGTATTCATAAGGTTGGTTGAGCTGGCACAAGAAAATATTGCCCATCAATAGAAACTGACTCCTCACAATACTTGAGACCTCCAAGACCATGGTGGCAGTGGGTGTGACTTCCTCCCAGGGCTCTCTCATCAGAATACAGGTCGCTACTATCTTTCCATGTCCTCTGTCATCTTTATTTTTATTTTTACATGCATGGGCTTTAATGGGACAATGCACTTCTAAATCTCCTCTTTCAATTTGGAGACCAGCAAGACTGGACTAAGGTCCACTCTATTGGTCCCATTTCCCCAAGCCACCTCTTTAAAGTGCTACATGGAACACGGTCATGCTCTCGGTCATGTCTATGTCCAATATATAAGTGTGACGGTGAACCGTCCTTCACCAAGGCTTTCCAGAATATTGTGTCTCATCGCCACGACAAAAAGGCATCAACATTTCCAGGGCGTTGGTTGGGGACACAAGGATCAAGGATTAACCAAGGACTTCCGTTAGATGATGGGAAATGAGAGCTAGACACCTTAAGGGCTGAACATGTATGGATTTGTTTCCATAAACGGTATCCAGGAGACCTTGACGGCTCCCTCACAGAGCCACAGTGAGTGAAACAGCGGAGCTTTCACACAATGGCGCTGTGGGAAAGGGCCCGCCAGTCTGCTCTGGAAGAGTCCCCTCACAAGCGGGTAGACTTACAGACAGTCCTCCCAGTCCATTGGCAACTTGGGGTTGGCACACTCTGAGTAAACAGAGGTGTTGGAACTTGGATGTGAAGAATGGGGACGTTTCTGGAAACCCAGCGATCATGGCAGAGGGAAGGCTTGAAATCTTCTGATTATTGTTTGTGCCATTTTCCCCCTTCCAGAACAGGGTGGGGCTGGTGGAGGCAATGCCACGCTTGGCCTCGGCACAGCTGCTGGTTGTTTACCTTGACGATGAGCCCTCTCAGCTTGTATCCTGTATCCTTTCCCGTTGCCAACTTGGCTACACTTGGTTTAAGAAAATGAATCTCCACCTTGCTCCATGCTCTTCAGCAGACTGTGTTGTGATGGTTTTTTCTTTGATAAGCTTGTATCTGGTGTGTGGCGAGTAAATAGAAGTCAAGTTGGGGGACTCCCTTAGTGTTTGCAGAAGATATGAGCAGCCTTAATCTTAAGGGTCCGAAACAGAACTTGGAAACAGCACCTGCCCTAAGCCTGTAAGTGATTGACTTTTCCCAGGCGTCTAAAGTACAGATGGTATTTTATAGGCATATCTGTTTTATTAAATTTGTTTTTCTTGGTGTGAGGTGGGGATAAGTACCTTCCAGTTTCATATAAACAAGTGGATACTTCTCTGAGGGAAGGTTTTGCTGATCTTCATGAGTATGAAAAGAAGAAACACACGATCCAAGCAACAGCATCTTTTTAAAAATAAATGTTGTAAAGGACTTGGAACAAAGAAAGAACTCAATAAATGTTGTGATTTAAGTTTTATGCAAATCAATTAGGAAATATCTCATCCTAAGGCTAGGACTGAAATAAGTGAAGCCCAATGTTGTCAGAGCATCTCTAGAAAAATAATTTGGAGAACAGGTAATGAAAATCTCGATAATAAAAAGATCAGCCTCTCGATTCAAAACTAAGCAAAATATTTGAACATATATTGTTCTAATAATGGTATGAATGGACCGAGAAGCACACGGAGAGATGCTGAGCACCCCAGGCATCAGGGGACTAAAGGACAGTGGCACTTAGATGTCACTTCACACCACCGCTGCTGTAATACAGACGAACAGACAGCAATACGTTCTGGCAAGGGGGTGGGGAAATTAAAATTCTCGTCCATTGCTGGTATGAAGGTAGAACTATGCAGGTGCTTGGGAATACAGTTTAGCAATTGCTTACATTTTTCAACATAAAGCCACAATGTAGCCAACAATCCTATTTCTATGAATATTCTCAAAGGAATGGAAGTTCTGTTTACACAAAGGTGGGTAGGAAAGTTATTTATGATGTCTAAAGAGTACAAGCAATGTAAGTATTGATTAACTTTCGAGTGGATAAGCATGACATGGTAAATCGATAGGCTGTTATTCAGCAATACAAAGGAATGGCATCTAACCCATGGCACAACACAGATAAAATGTAAAACATCCTATCAAGGAGCTGGAGAGATGCCCAGTGATTAAGGACACCCGCTGCTCTTGCTGAGGACCTGGGTTTGGTTCCCAGCACCGACCTTAGTGTTTCACAACCAACTCTAACTCCAGTTCCAGGGGATCTGATTTCTGACTTCTTCAGGCACCAGGCACACACATGGTGCACATACATAGATGCAGGCAAAGCCTTCACATACACACCAAATTAAATAAATCTTTAAAAAATTTCAAAACAAAACAGGATATAAAGAGAAGGAAGCTAGGCACAAATGGCCAGTGTCATGTGACTCCATTTACAAGAAGGGTCTAGAATGAGAAAAATCTAAGGAGACAGGAAGTTGGTTGGTCTTGGGTTGAGGGAAAGGAACATCAAAGAGTGACCTCTGCTGGGTACACGGTTTAGGGTGTGGGTCTGTGATTTAAGAATATAGTGGTTTAAGGTTCATTATAAGTAGACTTAAAAATCCATCAGCCTTGTGCACTTTAAGAAAAGAAATCTTAAAAAAGAAAACACTGAAATAGCAGCTGCCATTATGTATATACATTGATCTTGAACATCTGTGAATTATTTAAACAGTGGCATTTGTGGTCTGCCATCTTTGATTGTCACTTGTTAGGCAAACCCTCCACTTGTGCCTTAATAAGACCCAATGCCTGGGATCCAAGCCTTTTGCTTTCCTGGGTACCTACAGGCATGTGGTATATATGAACTCACACAGGCACACATGCAGACACATATATTACAAAATAATAATAAATCTATAAAAATCCATTAACTTCACCCCCCTCACTTGTGGCCATTACTCAATTATACTTGCAAAGTCTATACTTTTTTAGGGCCTTTTGTTTTGCTTACCCAAAATGAGGAAAAGATACCAGCTTTCCACTGGGCTCAGCTTTCCACTGGCCACTGTTGTAGGTGGAAAGGAACAGGCCAAGGGAAAGAGGTCAATAACAAAGGAAGACAAATGGTGGTTAGGAGCCTTGGGAAGTGAGTTAGGTATTTTTTTTAAGCCTTTTCTAAAATTTCAAAATGGTGGCTCACCTTTGGCTTCATGGAAGCATCGTCAAAGAATTGGCTTGGGGAATACATTTGTTTATTGAAATAGTGAGTCATGCAACCCACCATCCAGTCCATCAGACGGGGAATCAGGGATTGCTGCTTGGCTTTTCAGGAGAACTCCAGAGAACCCATTGAGGGAGACACTGCACACCCTTGTTTCCACACAAAATAGCCCCATCTGTGAGATTAATCCTAATCCTCCCACCACCACCCTGCCACCACGATCGTGAGCTTTTCTAAGGATGTTTGTCCCGCACCTTCCTCAAGTGCTTTCTTGCCATTTTTTTTTCCTACACCACATTCTGAAGTGAGAAGCTGGTGTCAATGATGTTTGATGTTGTCACCAATGTCAGAAACCCACAGTAACCAAGGAGAAGGTTGGGCTAGCCTAGTGACTCAGTTCCTTTTCTGCGCTGTGATGCTATTCAATGACCCAAATCAGCTCACAGAACAGTGAGCCTCAACCTCCCAAACACTGTGGCCCTTTAACACAGATCCTCATGACATGGTGACCCCAACCATAAATTTATTTTCATGTCTACTTTATAACTGTAATGCTGCTATTGTTTTGAATCATAATGTAAATTTCTGTGTTTTCTGAAGGTCTTAGGCAACCCCTGTGAATGAGTCTTTCAGCCCCCAAAAGGAGTCATGACCCCTGGGCTCTAAACAGCTGATAGAGAAGAAAAAGTTTATTTTGCCTTAAGGCTCCAGAGAACTAGATATTCATAAAGGCAGGGAAGGCGTGGCAGCAAGGAGCAAGTGTGGTAGCTGGAGCTGGAAGCCAAAAGATCTTATCTCCGCTGCACACACAGGAGGCCCTGAGAGTAAGCTGGAAGTGGGCTGGCTGACTGTAAAATCTCACAGCCTGTCCCCAGTGATATACTTCTTCCATCAATACTCCCTATTCTAAAAGTCCCATCATCTCCCCCAAACAGTGCCACCAACTACCGCTGTTCAAATGCATGAACTTACGGGGGACCGTTCTTATTTAAACCACCACACCTGGCTTATCTTACACGGAAAGATGACAAGTAGGCATGGACTGACTGGTTTGGGAAGTAACAGATCCCTAATCTTTAAGAATGTTGTAACCCTACTAGGTGCCTGAGCCTTCTGCTCATGGTGACTTGTGCACAGCCTTGTGTGGGGTTGCCAGTGCACAGCCTTGGGGATGGGAGTGCACAGACTTATGGGGTAGAAGTGCACAGACTTGTGGGACTGGGACGGGAGTGCACAGCATTGTGGGGTGGCCTCAGTTCCGGGCTCTTGGGAATAGCTGGTGGCAGCTGCTCCTGGTCACGAGGGAACTGGCAGCGCCAGGAAGCCTGAGCCTCGAGCCCATTGCAGCTGAGTTAATTACACCCTCCCAGTGAAGAGAGAAATCACGACACAAGAGTTTGCATGGAAACCAGCCCAGCATGGCGGCCCAAACTACTCCAGCATTTTTGTTTTCTAGATTGTTCTAATTAGCAGCTCTCTGCACCAGCCCTCTATTTTGTTTGGATGATCAGAAGCAGATTTGTGTCATCCTGGGTTAGGACATCGCTCTGCTTGATCATTACTCTGCCACTGTGGACCCATTGAATTCTTTTTTTCTTTCTTTCTTTCTTTTTTTTTTTTTTAATTTGCACTTTGGTAGTTTTCTATGTTTGGGTCTAATTTGAGTTTAAAATTAATGTGATCTGTTGGTGACTAGAGAGGCCCAAACAACTGAGATTTTAGCTTTTTAAATCCTT